AAAATTATATGAAAAAAAATATTTTTTTTTGAAAAATTTTTTTTTTTTTGATACAAAAAATTTTTTTGAAAAAAATGTTTTCTTCATTTTGACATATTTTGGAAATTCTGAACTTTTTTTCAAAGCAATCGCACTGCTTGAACTGCATAGAGACGAAATGTCAAAGCGCGCATGTGCCGCGCCGCCGTCTAACGCATAAGCATTGGTACGGAACCCATAAAAATGTAAAAAAAATATACTTATTGTTAAAATCTCTATAAAATATCTGATAATTTGATGTGCATATGTCTAATGATAATTTTTAACCGCCGAACGGCATTATTTTTTACTTTTTTCATTAGATCTCCGAAACCGCTAGACCTACCTCCATGAAAATTTGATCAATTCTACATCTTGTCAATACAAGTAAAATGTTTTTTGAATTATTCAAATCGGACGCTCCGTTCTCTTAAAAACGGAGGTACCGTTCTTGTCACTTTTTGCCCCGTATCTTCGGAACGGCTAGACCTGCCTTTGCCAAAAACTAATCAGCACGTCTCCTTATCAATACGAATCGAATGTTTTTTGAATTATTCAAATCGGTTGATCCGTGTTCCCGAAATCGTCGACGAAAATTTGTATCCGCACATACATACACACACATACATACACACACACATACATACATACATACATACATACATACATACATACATACACACACACACACACACACACACCACACACACACATACATCCATTTTTTCTAAGGTATGCCAAAATGTTCAGAAGGTTTTGAAACGTCGAGAAATGCAAAAATTTTCATTTTCGATTTTTTTGCGATTACTATAACTTACCCTACGGGAAGTTAATTATTAACTTCCCGTAGGGCAAGTTATAGTAATCGCAAAAAAATCGAAAATGAAAATTTTTGCCTTTCTTGACGTTTCAAAAGTTTCTGAATATTTTGGCATACCTTAGAAAAAATGGATGTATGTGTGTGTGTGTGTGTTTGTGTGTGTGTGTGTGTGCGTGTGTGTATGTATGCGCGGATACAAATTTTCGTCGACGATTTCGGGAACACCGATCAACCGATTTGAATAATTCAAAAAACATTCGATTCGTATTGATAAGGAGACGTGCTGATTAGTTTTTGGCGAAGTCAAGTCTAGCCGTTCCGAAGATACGGGGCAAAAAGTGCCGAAAACGGTAACTCAGTTTTTAAGAGAACGGAGCGTCCGATTTTAATAATTCAAAAAACATTTTACTTGTATTGACAACCGATCAAATTTTCATGAAGGTAGGTCTAGCGGTTTCGGAGATCTAATAAAAAAAGTAAAAAAAAATGCCATTTGGCGGTCAAAAATGATCATTAGACATAAGTATCAAATTATCAGATATTTTATAGAGATTTTAACAATAAGTATAATTTTGGTTTACATTCCTATGCGTTCCGTACCAATGTTTACGCGTTAGACGTCGACGCGGCGCTTACGCGGTTTGATATTTCGTCTTTATGCAGTTAAAGCAGTACGTTTGCTTTGAAAAAAAGTTTAGATCTTTCAAAATATGTCAAAATAAAGAAAACATTTTTTTTTTTCAAAAAAAAAATTAAAAAAAAATTTTTTTTTCAAAAAAAAGTAATTTTTTGTCTAATTGTTTGTCAAAAATCTCATTTTTTCGAAATAATTTTTTTTCAAAAATGTTAATCGTTTTAAAAAAAATAATAATTTTTGGTACGGGAAGTTCCAGCAATTTGCCTTAAGGCACGATGCCTTAATTGCCTTAAGACAATATTCCACTTACAGCTAGTTAATGACGAGCATATTCATCAATACCCACAATTCTGCCACTTCTTTATGACGAAAATAGTTGTCAATCATAGTTGACTCGCTAAAACGTAACCTCTTTTACTACATTAAAAACAGTGGAGTTTAAAGTAAGTTTTCATAGCAAAAATTTTTTATATAACTTTATTAAAACAACTTTTTTTTGAATAAGTTAAGAGGACAATCACTATGACAAAGAAACCGACGAGCATTATTACAGTGATAAAGTTATAATAAAAATTGTTGAAAAATATTAGTGCACCACGTGATGTTTTTACAAATTTAAAATATTTGTATATATAAACATTTATGGGTGATAGTGTTGACCATTTAAATTTATTTTTTCTCTTTTTTAATAAAATAATTATCAAATATTTTAGCATTTTACTATCCTGATCAAATCCGCCTCAAAGAGAGGTCTCTTAAAGTCGACCAATTATAAAAATTTCAATTTACAGTTCAAAAAAATGTCTGAATTCTTGAAAACTTGGGGTAATTGTGTTATTTTTTATTGCGGTCCTATAAATGTCATTCACGGTTACGGCACAAAGTTCAAATAAATAATAATAAAAATTAATCACAATAACCAAAATATGTTCGCATTGTCACCACAGCACTCAATTGCGTTAAAAAAGCTCATAATTTCCAAACAACGTAAAATAATTTTTTTCTACATTTTTTCAGGTCAGTTAAGTTCCACACTATCGCCTTGTTTTGGCAAAAATTCTGGGACACCCTGTATATGCAAAAATTTGAAAGTTTAATTTATTAATCATAAAACATTTATTACCTTTTTAATTTATTTAGATGTTCTGTTATTATAGATTTATCTGCATTCCTTGAACAAGCAATTTGATGAAATTCAAATAAAATATCTCAATGTAATTTCAGACACAAATTGCGAACGCTCTTCTTACATTATGATAAAGAATTATTTACTTTGCAAATTAGAGAAGACGAAATGTTTACTTTCAATTCTATAGAACTTCAAATAATTATGGAAAAGCGCAAAATTATTAAAAAAATATTTAAAATGCAATTTCATAAATTTCAGAAGCTAAACTATTTAATTACATACAGTTTATGCATAATTGACTCGAGAAATGTTAATATTCGACCCTTGCCCTATTTTGTTGTTTTACTGGCTAAATTCCTTCTGGCGAATAGCAAGTTTACTTTGTGTACTAGTAGAAATTAGTTTACTGAATCCTCAGTAAACATACTATGAGCGCTTATTATAAAATTTAAATAATGTACACAATATTGTAGAAAATTAAATTCAGGACATACATCAATGCAAATTAAAAATAAATTAAATGAAAACAAAATAAATTAAAATTAAATAGATTATTCTAAAATATATTGCATAAAAATAAAATATATCAAATAAAAATAATTTGGATAAAATAAAACACATATGAATGATTCGATTGCGTTAATTAAAAAAATGATATAGTTTATTAAAATAATTTGAATTAAAATACCTAGTTTAAATTGAAAGAGTTATTTGCAGCTCTAGATTAAATTTTTTTTTTTTTTAAATTTTAAACTCGAATTAATGGGCAACACTACAGCAAATGATATACAAACGCGCACTTAGGACCTACACGGTGTATATATAGGTCATTTTTTGAAAATGGTCATAAAATAGCATGACCAATATTTACTAAATAATTACTAAGCATGATTCCAAAATATTTTTCAAACATTGCACGAATTATTGAAATCGGTTCACGATCCAAACTTTATACAAAAATAGAACTTATCTGCTAATTATACGCAAAAACCATTCAGAATTAATATCAAAGCATACAGAATAACTTGAAGACATAAAATTAGCCGACAGGAATTTTTTGCAAAGACGCAAGCTTCGCTTTAAAAAAAATATTTGTTATGACATTAAATCTTACCATACAGCGCTGATTTAAAAACAATTTACTAGCGACTCGGTATCGCATTCTGACAAAAACGTACCTGCTGTAAATTTGACATTTTTGTGTTTGTTATGCAATTTGTTGGATACGTATTTATAGACATTGAAAAACATACATTCACATTAAATTTAAAAATTTATTTTCTGCGGAATGCTAAAAATTAAAGCAATTGATAGAATTTTTACCATTTGATCAATTGTTTCATCTTATTAAGAAATAAAATATAATGAATATGGGTAAAAAATACTTTGAAACAACTAAGAGTAAGTTTTGGAAAGAACACTGTCTTATCACCTCAGATTTTTATTTTAAAAATAGGCAATTTTTCAAATCATGGGCCAATGATTTACAACGCTTGATAAATAAAGCGTTTAATATAAAAATACTCAATAATTAAAATAATGAATATTTTATAAAATAATGCAACATAAAAGATACCAAATAGTGTTGGAAGATAGTTGATTAAATAAATAAAATTGAAGGGCCGCATGAAGCCCGCGGGCCGCGTTTTGCTCGTCCTTGATTTATTCTATTCGACCTTCAATAAAGAGTTTTTGTATATACAACCGAGCGCCTCGGAAGAGACGGATAAGGGCACAGGCTAACTTATGTTAGGAGGGCAAAGGTTTAAAATAAAAACTATTTTTACATAAAAGAGGACATTTAGAAGATGCATACAAATTATCAAACAAATTCTGAAATGTTACCCAAAAGTAAGCCTTCTAAACTATCATACTTATGGGCCGATTCTGCCGTAACATATACCAATGATATGGAAAGGTTATGTTACGCAGCTTTTTTCATATAAAATTGTTAGACTTTTTAGATAGAAAACATAAGATAATGAACGCAAAAACGTCAAAAAAAGAATCTTGTCATAAGTGCATCTTTGTGATGTGGCATAATAACATATGAGTGTAGTTACACTATGTGTAAAACGCGTGACTGAACAGCAAATACATAGCATTTTGACAGTTTTTAGTACCACTTTATATGAAAAAAACTACGTAACATATTTATATTTTAAGCTGATATATTTTATTAGGAGAGTTAATGGTGTAACTTTAAATATTTTTAGGGCTTGCCTTATATTTGTACAATTTAGAAGTCTCGAAAAACACGATTGATATGTGTACGTATTGATAAAATACTAACATCAAACAACGCCGACAGGACTGGTATGAAAATATGATATTTTGCATCAAAATACAATACCACAATATGTTGCAACAACTATCGAATATAATAATTAACTTACCATTTTATATGCAAACGTTTTCGATAAATTCACACACGACGCACTACCGTCGATTCGGGCCAAATGAACGACGACCGAACGAGTGCATCCCGATGACTGATTTTGCAATATTTTCAAATATCTATTGTCCCTATCTAGGTGTTGCCACATTTCATAATAAATTCAATGCATGAGGTCATAGAAAATACAATTTATGGATCAAATGCAAACGATGCTCTAGTCCTAGTCAATCATTTGTGCAACGGTATGAGGGTCAGAATCATATAACATACATTTAGAATCTTATAAGAAAGGTAAAGTATCTTATAGTTATACCTATCTAAGCAAACATTTCAACGTTGTTTGTTGCTGTAGAAAGTTATGATGTAAGAAATCATTTCAGATACTATTTCAGTCATGGTAAATTTTTTGAGAAATGGTTTATAACTTATTTTAATACTAAGATATTGCAACCACAATTAAAAAAAAGGTGATACATATTAATACAACAATGAAATCAAGGAAAAAATAATACTAAATAAATCTTAACATTCATCATAAAAACTGTTTGTTTGTAGTTTGTGAATTATTTGTTCGTAAATATTTTTATTTACAAAATATTGTAAAACAGAATTTCAAGAAAAAATTCTATACTATGATAATTAATATTTATTAACAAATATATTTTATTTTGACATAAATTTTAAAGTCTTTGCAAAGTTACAGTAATCGTCTAAAAATCGAAAATAATAATTTTTGCATATCTTTATGTTTCAGAAGTTTCTGAAGCTGAAGAAAAAATAGATGTGTGGATGTGTGTATATAGTATGTATGTATGTATTGATGCAATTTTTTGCCAGCGTTGTTTGGGCACCGCTCAACCGATTTGAATTATTCAAAAAACATTCTATTTCTATTGATAAGGAGTCATACTAATTAGTTTTCGGCATAAGTTGGTCTAGCCGTTACGTACATACGGATACACATACATACGGTACGGAAAATGTCAATTAAGTTTCCGATTGAAATTTGGGCATCCGATTGAATGATTTAAAAAACGTACCACTTGTATTGACGTAATATAGAATTGATTAATTTTTAGCAAAGACTGGCTCATCAGTTTCGGAAATCCATCAAAAAAAAAAAAAAAATACGATTTGGCATTTGAAAAACAGATATTTAGTAAATTATTTTACCTTATATGAATTATATCGAAAAATCGAATTTTTCTTTTCTAAACTTATAAAAAATTGAAATTACGGTACATGAAATTTCTGCAATTTGCTTTAATGCACGATGTCATGCACAAGTAGTTTAAATCATCTACTTATCATTTAAAAATATGTAGCATTTTTTAACCAAATTTATAGTTTAGAGATAGCAAAATTTGTTTGTGATTCTTTATATATTTTTTTGTTTACTGTATTATAGATTCAATAAATGATAATAATCAAAAGTTCATAAGTAAATAATACATAAATCTATTTTAATTATAATAAAGTTAAGATAGTCATTAATCATGCTCACAATAAATATGCAAAAATAGTTTTACAAGTTAGAAAAATTCATATTACAGTTAATGAATACAGTATAAAAGCGCTTGAACAAGGAAAAACTTGAAATATATTTTATAACCGTATTATATATGCAGAATTCAAACGTAAATTAAAATTATTTATCGCAGTAAAATTATTTAATTAGTAAATGGCACAAGTTCTTGCGTATTGAAACCGTATGAGCGAGCGCTATTAATTATTCCTTCTGGTATGTTTCATGAATTATCGTATTTGAAAATAAATTATGGAAATTCAGCGCCAGTTTTAGAGCATGTGAATAAAGTTGATCCTGGAAAATTGAAATAAAGATCTGCTGACATATAGTGCCAGGACTGGAATGTTCTGAGGCGCATATTCATATGCATTATGCCAAGAAACAATTTAAACTTTCTCGCTATGCATTTAATTTCAGTTTGACAAAGTGTGAAAGAATGGAATATAATTCAAAGTTTAATGTTTACGTAATGTGATGAAGATCTTTTGGAAAACGCAAAACGTTCGTGTAATTTAGAAAAAGTTTTTGCGGGATTAAAGTAGCGGCAAAAAGTAGGGCATTCGTAAAAAACACTATACGATATTTTTACTAGGTTTTAGATAGTTTTTAAACATTGGTTATTAATTAAAGAAAGGGAATAAAAAAACAGTTAATATTTTTATTTATAAAATTAATTAGGTGAATTTGTATTAAGCAGTTTTAATTAAAAACGCCTTTAGATGTTCAAACAGCATTTATACTTTTACATAAGTATTAATCAGCGTTCCTAAAGCAATTTGCTAACATGTTTGCTTAGATATGTAAAACTATAAAATACTTCTATAACCTATCTTATAAAATTCTAAATGGATCTTAAAAGGTTCTAACTCTCAAATGATTTACATGAGCATTTCTAAAATCGGTGCATTTTTGACTCGTTTGCATTGATCCATAAATTGTATCTTCTATGACCGCATTAGATTTGTTATGAAATGTGGCAACACCTAGATAGGGACAACATTTATTTGAAAATATTCCAAAATCAGTCATCGGGATGCACTCGAAATGTGCGGATCGGGTCGGGTCGCGTCGTCGGTCGTCGTTTATTTGGCCCGAATCGACGGTAGTGTTTCGTGTGTGATTTTATCGAAAAAATTTTCATATAAAATGGTAAGTTAATTATTATATTCGATAATTGTTGCAATATATTGTGTGGTGTATTGTATTTTTTGATGCAAAAAAAAACATATTTGTACTGAAAACAGTCTTGTCGGCGTTGTTTGCGTTTAATAGTTCACATAATATGGACAAAGGCAAATCAATCGTGCCGAACTATTGAGACTTTGTAGAATAATACTAGACTAACATGAGGTATACCATAAATATTTCACGGTTTAGCCTTAACTTACGATTGAGATTCGAAAATGTTTTCGAACTATTTTTTCAAACGGTGTACAGTTTATCGCAAAAATAAGAATAATTTTATATTTTACAGTTTTGTATAATTAAATATTATGTAATAATTGCGATCACCGTACTTGGCCATTTTCGTAATGCGTAATATTTGCTTCTGGCTCGATCAATGTACGCGGTCTATGCCCGTAATATTTACATTTAGCCCAACCATCATACGCGGGCTACGCTCGTCATTGTAAATTAAGGGGTTAAAATTAAATCTGAAACTTTTCAAAGATAATATTTAGCTTCTCGCAACGCTTATTTGAAGTTAAGTGGCTAGAAAGACTGGACCTGCGTCAGAGGTCCCGGGTTCGATCCACGTTTCGAGCAGCCTGATGTCGAACATTAGTGATATTCATTTTCACTTGGATATAGATAGCAATATGTTTGTTGTGTATTCCAAGTGTATACAGCACTCGTCCGACATTGCTTCACCAATAAAATACTCGCCCTTTTACAGAAATTGTAATAATAAAATGGAGGCTACTGTTTGCGTCGTCATCTGTAAAACCAAGCATTAGATCAAATTAGTCCAACAGGTCATAGGATTCTAAAGTTCTGACAGTCGTCCAAAACCATATAGAACATATAGAAATATGTTCTCGCAAGAAAGTCGATTTTGCTTATTTTGTGTTTTCAAGTTATTCTGAATAGCTTGACACCAAAATTAGCAAAAAGTTTGTGATTATATATAATCCAAAATTTGACCTTAATTTTGTGTTTTCGTAAAAGAAGATATCATATATGTAAAAGTTTTTTTTAAATCTTGAATTGTTTACTCACCGTGATTTGCTCGATGATCAGACTAACCGTTTTAACTAATAATTAAGCAGACAAGTGCAAAAAAATAATTTAAGCACTACTTGATAAATATCAGATGAGAATCATGCCAATTAGTAAAGCGCCGATTTTTGCCCGCTTCCAAAAGTGGTTAACAATATTATTACAATTTGTATTATGGGTGAATAATTTACGCAACGGTATAAAATTTAAAAGCCATTTAGAATAATATTAGGCAAAACAAGTCTTATTTCTGAGCAAACATTAGGAGGACATACTGGCCCTTAGGACTTACTCCGCGTTTAGTCTCGAGCCCTTGTTCATATATTCATGTAACCTGCCGAAAGGAATACTTGCCCTTATTATTAAATTCTATTTATTATATTTGTATTTGTCATTTAATTTTCAACATTTATATTTATTTAAATTAAGCTCTAATAAATTTACATTAGGGGCTCGCGCGTAGGTAAGCGGTTTAGAGCGAAGGGACCTGAATCAGAGGTCCCGGGTTCCATACCCACTTCGAGCAGCCTGTTGTCAGGCAGAAGTGACAACGATTTTCACTTGGAAATATAGGTAGCAATATGTTTCCAAGTTAAAATAGCCCTTGCCCGGCATTGCTGCACCAATAAAAAGTCAACCCTATTAGATTAATTCTAATAGCAAAAATCATCAAATATGGATGGATTAACCATTGCGTTACCATCTAAAAAAATACGAAGTAAGGAGAAGTTTCAGCCCAACAGCTCATAGAACGTAAGGTTCTGATTGCTGTTAAAAATATATAAAAAACAATCATTAAATTACTTGAATTTTATTTATTTTACATTATTATATAATTTTATTTCAATTTAAAGTTTGCAATTTTTGTTTTATTGCTTCTATTGATTCTATTTTTATTTATATCCTATTCTATTTTAATGTTTTTCTAACAGTTTTCTCCATTCTTTTTTTTTCTAAATCGTATGTTCTTGAAATTTAATCTTGTTTAAATTCTCCTTACTTGTAATTTTTTATTTAAATTCAACTCAACTTAATTCTAATCTTTTCCAATTCTAATATTTTCTCGATTTCTTTTTATTTCTATTTTTTTTTCAAATGAACTATTTTCTAATTCTTCTCAATTCTATTTCTATACATTTTCTAATCAACAATTCAATTTCTATTAAACTTTTCATATTTTTTAAGAATACATTTCAACGCCGAACAAAAATAAACAAAACAAATTATTTAAAGCATGTATGGTTAGAATATGCCCTATTAGATATACAATGTATATGTAATAAAAAGTTGTGCATACGTGTGCGTGAGAAATTGTAAAATTTATTATATTTCTCGATTA